TTCTTCTTCCTCTTCATCGTGATCATCGTCACCATTATTGTCATTATCATGATCTGTGTGTGTTTATATTTGTGTGTCTGAGTGTGTGTGTATGTGTGATAGAAGGTGCAAAGTCAGAATACGACATTAATGGCTTTCTATCTGTGACGTGACATGGCAATCCCATGCTTGCATCACAAGTAATTAGCAGCCGCAGTCAAACTGATAACGGCCAGAAAATAATCATCATCAAAGTCATGGTACAGTTCAAGCCTTAACAACTTTCAACATTACAGGGTTACTCTGAGGCTGGACCCCCAAATCTAACAGATCTATTCTCCTCCTCAAATAGGACCCAGCCAAGTTGGTGGAGAGCCTTGAAAACTCATACAGCAACCCAAATTCAAGATTGCCCCATCATCGATTCGAACCAAAGTCATCCGAACTGTAGCCCAGCACAACACTAACTGAGCTAACAGCATGCCCCATGATCAGAGTCACAAACACATACACAAACACCTATCCTTAAATAGACACATTTTCTTCCGAGTCTGTGAAGTGATCACAGCTAACCATTTCTTCCAAGAAAATAATAATTTTCTCCGTTGTAGATCTTCCCCTGTACATATTCAAGACAGAATTAGCGCACTCTCAAATGTTCCCAGATCACGACATCTTAGATGAGAAAATTTTGGCAATTCTCTTTGCTTCTTCAACAGATGGTGGTTTCTTGTTTTTCGTGGAAGCAAGAGTGGCCTTGGCCTTTGGTGCCGCTATCTTGTTGACCAGTTCCGACACGACCTTGGCCTTATTCTGTGACTTTACATCCTCCTGGAGAAAAAAGACAATATGTGGATATTCTTATTCCCATATTGAAATCTATTTTCCATTTTGATCATATATTTCCCAGACTATTTACATATCTTTTCTCCGAAAGAGCCAATTGTCGAGAAAATTATTTTTTTTTAAAGAACTTTTTATAAACCATAAGACCCTCTTCTTGGTCAGAAAAGCGGTAACTAAACATTTCTCAAGCTATTCATCTATCTTTTGTGTGTCCTGAAGAATAAAAATTAAATTTACAAAAACCATTCTACTAGCCACAAAGCTATTCTTCCTAGGTCTGAAAAGAGTGACAAAAATATTTTCACGCTTTTTTACGTATCTTTTCCATATCCAGAAAGATATTTATAAAATTAAGCATCAAAAATACTAGCCACAGACAAATCTTTCCTTGGTCAGAAAAAAGAGACAGCAAACCATTTCTCCAGCTACTGACCTCACTGACGTTGACGGCGGCCGAGGTGGCCATCTGTAAAGCTCTGATGGAGGCCTGGAGCTCCTCCACAGGCATGAAGAAGTTGGGCAACCCAGCCCCGGGCTCCTCCTCCTCTCCGTTAAGACCAGCGGTCACCGCGGGACCCAATCCACTGTCCTCGGGCGTGAGCTCATCCGTGGACATGTGACAAACGCCACCACTGACTCCACTGCTGTTGCCGTTCACCATGATGATGCTGTTGGGCTGCGTGGTGTGGCCGTCGCTGTAGTCCCCATCCACGTAGGCTGAGTCCAGAGTGCTGTCCCTGTCACTGTGGAGCCGCGACTTCCTGCTGCGATGAGATCGAGACTTCCGCGTCATGCGGCCGGCGTTACTGGAGTTGACATTTACGTTGGTCTCGACCACTCGATCATCGTTCTGGTGAAGTTCCTCCAACTCGTCCACATTCATGCCTCGATCACTCTCTTCATTCACAGCACCATTGCCGTTGGACTGGTCCAAGACAGCATGAGAGCCATGTCCTACATTGGTAGCCATTGCTGCGGAAGAGTGGGAAGAGGATGACTTGACCGATGCACCACCAGAACCACCCGCGGGTTTGAAGGAGTCTGTTTCAAGAGACCGGAGGCTGCCAGCCTTTTCTCCTGACAGCTGGGACGTCGCTGAGGCACGGGATGCCAGGCTGCTGCCAGAGCTGGGTCGCTGAGAGGAGTGGTTCGAGTCTAGCTCAACATTGGATAACAGATGTTTGACCTTCGGTCGGGCTCCACCATTTCCTTTTCCTCCTCCGTTTCTAGAGCGCATAGATGCTTGTCGGGTGTCAGCCAATACGAGAGTGTAAGGGTATTCACCTCCAGCATTGCCATTTTCACTAAACTGAGACTCTACAGTGTTGAGATTTGAACCCCAGCCATTGACATGAGCAGTGGAGTTTAATGAATCGACCAACTCAACATTGGACAGAAGACTAACAGGTGCATTGGGAGAAAACGACGGTAACATATCAAGTACTGCATCTTCATCTTCTCGCTCATTTCCTTCTTTTTCTTCTTCCTCTTCATCATGATCATCGTCATCATTATTGTCATTATCATGAGCATACACTGGCACATTGTTCGACTTCGGCTGCTGTTCCTCGTCATCAAAGAACTCAGTCACAACTGTCTGCTGCCGCTGTGTGGTCCACATGTCCCTGGCTGTCTCCTCATCGCTCGAGTTCCGAGCGGTCATCTGCTGCCACACATCATCGTTCTTGTAGCCTTCTCTGAGCGTCTCTTCACCACTCTCTGCGTCAGAGTCTTCGTTGAGATGTAGTCGTACATCCACTCCGGACAGCTTCCGGCTACCATTTGTAGTCGCCATTTTCTCCTCATCATAACCCTGTCTAGAGCAGCTTCCTTCTTCATCACGCACCTGCTTCGATGACTTCTCCCCATCCTTCCACTGAAACTCCTCCTTCTCTCTTTCATCCTGATCTCTACCACTTTCTCCTCCTCTCACGACAGCACCATCCTTTTCATCTTCTTCCTCCTCCTCTTCCTCCTCCTCTTCAGTATCTCTCCCCCCAGCCCCTTGAGTGCCTTCACCAGCACTACTGCCCCCATGAGCCTCTAGCCAGGTCTGCAGCCTCTCATGTCCAGCCAGCCTCTCGCCCTGCCCCTGTAGCCAGCTGTCAATGGTCAGCTCCTCAATGGCTTCATCCCCCGACTCATTCAGCACCTGTTTATTCCGCTCGAAAACCTGCTGGAAAAAACTGTCATTGTCCTCTGAGCACCACAGACTCGTGCCCTCATGGACGTTCGGGGAAGCTGGGGAAAACGCTAATTTCTCAAGATCTTTTCGAGGACCCTCTACGTCAGTATTAACATCCTCACAGTTGTCAGCTATTTTTGATCCAGCAGCAGGAGGGGGTTCTTCTCCATTGTTTGCAGCAACAGCATCGGCAGCCGTGGTGAGAGCTAACACAGTTGACATATTGTTCAAGCTTCTGGGAACAACTTCTACCACATCCTCATCTGCCTCACCCTCTTCTTCCACATCGTCTTCATCTTCCTCATCGTCCAGCATCTCTCGATAGCGGTGGTAACTCCCATAATGCCGTCCACTACCGACTTCTTTATCCTCTTCTTCTACTTCAGTATCACTATCCTCATCCTCCTCCTCGTACAACTGCTTCTCCTTTCTCGTTCTAACCGACTCTTCCGCTATCTTCTCCGAACACGCCGAACCACTTCCACTATTTTTAGATGTCCCTTTACTCCCAGTCCCACTGCTAGTTTCTTTCGAACCATCCATACGTCCAGCGTCCTGTACTGACATACTTCCCGCTGTTACCGTGCTGCGCTGCGTTCCAGGGACAAAACCATGGCTGTTACCAGAGCTCTCAGAATAATCCCCCGTAGGAAGCAAAGTCTGAGTTTTGGCTGCAGCCGCTGCTAAAAATCCAGCCTCGAGCGTGTTCACAGCAGACGGGGGCACAGGAAGACTTCTGATCAAAGCTGATGGAAGAGTGGACATATTGTCATCAGTTGTTCCTACCAACTCTATATTTTTGTCACTGCTCCTATGGCTTTCAGGGGCATCTTCTGCCGACTTCTCTGAGAAATTTTTCGCCGAGAACACTCCGGAATCCAGCAATTTCTGGTGCACGTTGTTCCCGCTGTTGTTGTTGCTACTGTTGCCAGCCCTGTCAGAGCTGACTCCCGCGACAGTCAAGGGTTCCCCTTCCAGGAGAGAAGAGTTGTTGGCAGTCCTGCTCCGGGCTGATTCCTGCGACGTGGCCACCTCGGACGAGGAAGCGTTGTTGTAGCGGCTCCCGTGGGTGGTCATGAGAGACGAAGCCGTGTGGATGGTGCTCAGGCCCGACTGAGTGCCCGTCAGAATGTCGCCAGATCGGGCGCTGTTCACTTGGTTCAAGCTTGTATCACCATCAGGAGCAGCAGGGGTCAAGGTCAGCCGCGTCTTGAGTTTCTGCGTGATTGTATCCAGATCAGCCAACTGCCGTCTGTGGAAGAGAAAATTTTATATCTTAAGATTGTGTGTCCGCTGTCATACCTATAGAGGAGCCACTACTCCATTGCCCACTGGTGGGGTGCTACTCATTTGCAATATAACGGTTTTGTTTAGTTAGTAAGAGTAAGAGTATTACATAGCTCACAATTACATAAGGTCATATGAACATGCGGAACCCAAGTTGGTTGATTTCACAACGGTTCATAGCACGGCTTGGTTTTGGTCAATGATCAGATTTAAAAAATTCAGGGTAAAATTGCAATAAACATTTCTGGCATGGTTTGTGTGTGAGTGTGTGTGTGTGAGTGGGGGGGGGGGGGATCTGTTTTCTGTTCATCGCTCTCAGACCAAATGCCCACTCCAAAAAATAAATGCACTGTTGCCAACTTTTCAAAACCAAACAATACACAGCCCACATGATTGGTCAAGAGGGTAGGCAGTGGCCAAGTAACCCCCTTCAAACCCCTCATTCACATTTTTCTGCATTCAGTACATTTGAGTCATTCAAAGTAGACCTGCAATAAACGATCTCTCCATTTGACTTACGGGTTCTGTTCTCATTATTATTCCCACATCCGGTCTTGAAAGTTTTACCATTTTTCTTCAGTGTTAGAAAGTCCATGAGGAGCAATATTAGAAAAAGAAAAACACATTTTCATATGAAAACTAATTTCCATACTCAGACCCTCATAAACATATTAAATATAATGTTTCTACAATACTGGATTGGCAGCAATGCAGATGATCCCCAAAACCCAAAAGTGAATGGACCAGCCTTCTACAGGACCAATTCATCATATTATTATCTAGAAGGCCAAGAAACTCAATACTGAAAATAAATCCTCACCTGAGAGAGGAGAAGAGGTAGGATTTCGATGGGTCATCGAGGTCCGGCTTGTTGATGAACTTGGGCTGCCAGTGCAAGGGGGCAGCGGGCTCTGACTCCACCTCCTGGCTCGTACCGGAGAACTCCCAGTCCTCCTTCTGGGACGACTCTGGACGGGAAGAGACAGCACGAGCATGACTATGGGTTTTTCTTGTCCGGTTTGGTTTTCTTGGTTTTTTAATTTTATTCTATAAACTTGCCCCAAGTCTTGGGGGAAAATATGATCACGTTAAGACATATTGATACAAACTGCTGTGCAAAGTATGGGTGACATTGATTCATCCGTTAAAGAAATATTTGAGGATAAGTTGCGCCACAAATTTTTAAACTATAGACTAAACTAGACTTGACTTCAACATATATGGAAAGATACACAAATCTATCAATTATTAATTCAGTCCAAAATACATCCAGCGAGAGAGACACTGAACAAGCCAAACCTCCGGTCCGGTTCAGCTCCTGTCCTGAAGCAGCACCACCAGCAGTGGGTCCAGCATCTTGACCAGCGGTCAGCGCTCCCATCCTCTCCATGACCCGCTGCTGCAGACTAGCCAGCTGCTCCGCTATACTGGAGGCCACAGCCTGAGTGCAGGTAGGGAAGCTCAGCCCCGGTACTGGCATCATGGGCATCTGTAAGAAGACACGTCCATTTCTTTTTAGTGTTGTCTTTTTTTAAGTAGATGTTTTATGGCTCTCGCAACTGCACAAGGTCATATGAGCGCCAGAAGATTAGAGGTGTTACAGGAGAGTAACAAACATAAAAAAAAGAAGAAGAGGAGATAAGGATGACAGATGTTTGATAGGAAAGAAGAAGCAAACCACACCAGAGCACCCGCCAACCACCCACTGAGTGTTGTTTAGCAAGTTAACTCATTCAGTAAATCTATGACACGAAAACAAAAAATTCAAAGACAAACTTGATACTGTAAGAGAAATTTAAGAGACAAAACTTACTGAGACAAAAACAAAGTTATATACCCAGACAAGAAAGTTTTAAATGACATTAAAAAGCAAATCTCTCTCTCTCTCTCTCTCTCTCTCTCTCTCTCTCTCTCTCTCTCTCTCTCACTCTCTCTCTCTCTCTCACACACACACACACACACACACACATACACATACACACACACACACACACACACACACACACACACTACTACTTCTATTACTCACCATCAAACTTGAGCTAGGGCTGGACTGAGGTAGCAGTGACCTGGGCGTTTCCTGAGGCGTGATGCTCACCTGACACAACACAAAGACAAAAATATGTCAAATGGCGTTCCAAAAGGTGTAATATGAGACCTCCAATTCCACTCTGTTCAGTAAAATAAGAGGCAGGACCTCTGATCTAACGTCCATTTCCGAGATAAACAGAGCCGTGGAAAGCCCTCACAGAAGCCAAGGTCAAGAACACCCCAATGGAGACTCCACCCAGATTCCCTCACATCATGGACCAGTAGGATACCAGTTGAGTTAATGATGCACCTAAGTCACACTCTCTACATGATGATGACCGTCAGGATAGCAGTAATAATAATAAATTGTCTTCATCATGCTCGTCCTCATAATCAACATATAATAATATTATAGGAGGAGGAGAAGGAAGGGGATAACAATAATATTAATAATAATGACATAACAATAATATAAGAGGATGAGGGGCAGCAGCAGCAGCAGAGGAGGAGGTTTATTTTAGTAAGAGTTTTAAGGCACTTGCAACACAAAAAGAACATATAAGTGCCGAAGATTAGAGGTGTTACAAGAGAGTAACAAACAAAAAAAAGAAGGAGGAGAGATAAGGACGATAGATGTTCGATAGGAAAGAAGAAGCAAACCACACCAACCACCCACAGTCACACTCTCTACATGATGACGACGTCATGACAGAAATAATAATAATAATAATAACGAAGATGATCATCGTCATCATTGCAATCATCATCGTCGTCATCATAATAAACATATAATAATAGTATAGGAGGAGGAGAAGGAAGTGGATAACAATAATATAAGAGGAGGAGGAGCAGAAGCAGCAGCAGCAGCAGCAGCAGCGGAGGAGGAGGAGGAGGAGGAGGAGGAGGAGGAGGTTTAGCTTTAGTAGGAGTTTTACAGTATTTGCAACACAATAAGGTCATATAAGTGCCGAAGATTAGAGGTGTTACAAGAGAGTAACAAACACAAAAAAGAAGGAAGAGAGATAAGGATGATATATGTTTGATAGGAAAGATGGAGCAAACCACACCAGAACACCTGCCAACCACCCACGAGGAGGAGGAGGAGGAGAAGATGAAAAAGAAGAAAAATTTACTGAGCTCACTCCCCAAACACGAGAGCCACCTACGTGCACTGGCAACAGAAACTGACACAAGACAAACCGACGGCCGCAGTAAATGTTCCACTGACCTTTATCTGACCTCTGCACTGCCCAGTGAAGTCCACGATGTTGTACCAGCCACAGATCTGATGCAGACCCTTGGTCAGGGGAGACAAGTCCACAGAGACAAACCCAAGTACACGGTCACTGGACTTGTCTGAAAGAGGAGGGGGGGAAAAGAAGAAACAAAGTGGAAATGAATCTCATGAGTAATTTCATACTTCCGTTTTCTCACTATTAAGAAAAAAAATATGAACATCAACATGAAAATAATACTGAAATATACCAAAGCATTTGGAAAGAACTTGTTTTGTTTTCTTCCTCAGGATTAAAACAAAAACTCCTGAACTTCACCTATTTTTAATAACAAACCAGTTGATAATGCCCACCTCCACAAACAAGGAAGTGGGTGGTTGGCGGGTGCTTTGGCGTGGTCTTCTCTTTCTTTCCTATAAAACATGTATCATCCTTATCCCTGCTCCATCTTTTTTGTATGTCATTCTCTGGTAACATCTCTAGCCTTCGGTATTTATATGACCTAATTGTTTTGAAAGTGCCATAAATCCAAAGAACTACAGTATTGTTGATCTAAGAAGGGATGAACGCAGCAGAAATAATCCATCGCCCTTCTTGTCATAGCCCTTCCCTATCATTCCCTCTTGCTCCTCTTGTGGGCCCCAGTGGCCGTGTGAGTAATGAGTTCAGATTCTAAATAGGTCAAGAAAGAGTCTGTTTTAGTTTTAGTTTTAGTAAGAGTTTTACTGCACTTGCAACAAAATAAGGTCATATAAGATTAGAGGTGTTAAAAGAGAGTAACAAACACAAAAAAAGAGGAGAGATCAGGACGATAGATGTTTGGTAGACACACACACACACACACACACACACACACACTACTACTTCTATTACTCACCATCAAACTTGAGCTAGGGCTGGACTGAGGTAGCAGTGACCTGGGCGTTTCCTGAGGCGTGATGCTCACCTGACACAACACAAAGACAAAAATATGTCAAATGGCGTTCCAAAAGGTGTAATATGAGACCTCCAATTCCACTCTGTTCAGTAAAATAAGAGGCAGGACCTCTGATCTAACGTCCATTTCCGAGATAAACAGAGCCGTGGAAAGCCCTCACAGAAGCCAAGGTCAAGAACACCCCAATGGAGACTCCACCCAGATTCCCTCACATCATGGACCAGTAGGATACCAGTTGAGTTAATGATGCACCTAAGTCACACTCTCTACATGATGATGACCGTCAGGATAGCAGTAATAATAATAAATTGTCTTCATCATGCTCGTCCTCATAATCAACATATAATAATATTATAGGAGGAGGAGAAGGAAGGGGATAACAATAATATTAATAATAATGACATAACAATAATATAAGAGGATGAGGGGCAGCAGCAGCAGCAGAGGAGGAGGTTTATTTTAGTAAGAGTTTTAAGGCACTTGCAACACAATAAGGTCATATAAGTGCCGAAGATTAGAGGTGTTACAAGAGAGTAACAAACAAAAAAAAGAAGGAGGAGAGATAAGGACGATAGATGTTCGATAGGAAAGAAGAAGCAAACCACACCAACCACCCACAGTCACACTCTCTACATGATGACGACGTCATGACAGAAATAATAATAATAATAATAA